CTCCCATGTGTCTCCCAAACACGCCTGGGGAGGCTGGATCTCTTCCTGCCCGCAAACACTGTGCCCCTGGGAACAGGTGTAAGAGGAAATCCTCCCTCCATAAGCTGGGATGCTGCCCTGACATCTGCATCCAGCCAGCAAATGGGAGGGGGCTAAAGACCCCATACCGCAGGATTTGAACCACAGATCCAACAGCCTTGAGCAGCCCAGAGTGAGAGCAGCTAACCCCGTTCCCACCTTGTGAGTAGCCACAGGGGGGAGCAGGAAACCTGGGGAGGGGATTATTTTGGAGCATCACTGTCCCAGAAGCACCTGCTGCCCTTGCAGTGAACCTCATTCGCCCACACCACTTGTTAAACACACCAAACATCCCCAGTATAACAGGCCTCCCTGCCCCGATCACACAGCCAGTGAGAGGCCTGGCCTACCTGCCCGAGGACAGGGCCCAGGGGAGGCCCCGGCATGGCCTGCCCTGCCCGGATGATCATTCGGATGACACTCCCGGGATCGACCTTCTTCGCAGCTTTGGCGGCACGGGAGATTTTTGACATGGTGACTCTCAGCTGCGAGATGAGTACAGGGGAGAGGGAAGGTCACAGGGGGCAGAATCCAGCCCCAGGGGAGAGCGCTGGGGAGCTGGCAGGCTCTCTCCAGCACCCACCACACTGGCACTAGAAAGGGCTCCTTTGCCACCCAAGAGGTGCCACAGGCCTGGGGAAACTGTTGTTTGTGCCATATCACGGTTAGAAACCACTATTCCCTGAGGGTCCTAGTGCTCCCCACCCCTATTGTACAGCCATACAGCTCAACCCCCCAATCCCCATGGCTCCTGTACACACCCTAACCATACACCTCAGTCCCCTGTACACGCCCTAACCATACACCCCAGTCCCCCCCGATCCCCTGTACACGCCCTAACCATACACCTCAGTCCCCTGTACACGCCCTAACCATACACCTCAGTCCCCCCCGATCCCCTGTACACGCCCTAACCATACACCTCAGTCCCCCCGATCCCCTGTACGCGCCCTAACCATACGCCTCAGTCCCCCCCGATCCCCTGTACGCGCGCTAACCATACGCCTCAGTCCCCCCCGATCCCCTGTACGCGCGCTAAC